AGAGTGTCCCGTTGCCATATACCATCGCTCTCGCCCGTACTTACGCCTCAGTTTCACTGATTAAGCTCTCCTCTTCTGAAGATACCTCGTTGCAGGTCACAAGGGATATTGAACTTACTCGTTCCGACACCGGGGATATCCCAATAGTAGATTCTCGTATTCTAGGGGCAGGACCGGATATAATATCAGTCAACCGCCTTGGACACGTTTACAAGTCTAATGTATACACAGCAGGCAAGGCCACGTGCGTCACGCCCCCATCTGGAAGCATCGCCGTCTCATTTCCTTCACAGGCAAGCAATCGAGGGTAGCAGAACTGCAGCCGGAGACAGTCAAGTTAACCTCGCAGACAATTTCTGGCAACTGGGTGCAACGAGCAACAGGGACGGGTGCTTTCTTACTTCCAGTACCTGCGTAAAGTATCTGGATTTTAGAGTATGTTCGTACGGTCGATGGATGGACTGGTGACTTACGTACGCTTCACAGACGAGCTGCACAGCCCAAGTCGTTCACTTTCTCGACAAACCTGGAGCTGTAGTAACCTGCTACGAGCCCCCAGGACAGGATAACCTCAGTCGTGTCACAACCTCATCTGACATTATTTGGCTTGATGATCGTTTTCCTAAAAAGCCGATTTTAAGCTTTAAACACCACAGGAGTTATGATAGGACGCTTAAAACGCTCACCGTTCAACTCGGCTTTGGTCAGTCTCTTACTATTACAACAAGATTTCACAGTTGACGCCAACACTTGCAGGTCCCCTGGTCTTGTTAACTTCTCGGAAAAATGGCCTAGTCACTGTCTACGACGTCAGCAGAGGCACGGATAACCTGGTACACTGCAACTCTCCACCTACTTGTCTGTCCTGGGACAAACCACTGTATACGGTACATACCGGGCATACAGCCGTCGCGACACCTTGCATGTCTAAGATGTCGTTCCTCCGGTTGACTCATCAAGGTAGCATTTATCAGCAAGACATCCACATCACCACTGGCAACCAAACGCAAGCCTTCAAGGAAGGGAGTCGTGTTGTTCGAGAATGGGATGCAGACGTCGAGAACTTGGATCGGCAATCAAGAGACTTGCGCCCCGACCCAGGTCCCGTTGGGGGGAGGCACTTTACAGAGGTTAACTTCCGTGGCGTTTACGAAAGTTGGTGCCTTCCTCTGAAAATGACGACTAAGATTGATTCGGTAATTTGTAGGGATATTCTCGCTAAGAGACGATGGCTCAGGTGAAGCCTTCCGTGACACGCTCGCACAACTCCCCGGTTTCTGGCAGCAGATAGAAGAGCCTCTGGAAATCATGCTAACAACGTGGATTGTTTTCCCGTTCGCCGATCGATTCACTGATTGTGACACTTCCAGGTTCGACCTAATAGCTTACGAGAAGTCAAAGGTTCCGGCAAATTTCTTCACAGGCTGCACTGCGAACGGCAACTCAGCCTTCCAAGCAGTTGCAAGAGGCGATATACCCGTCAAGGAGCTAGCTAGTCTTGCCCCTTGGAGCTACAACATTCTCAAAATAATGCACCGCTTACCCTATGATATCTCCGAGGACTGGTCAACATTCAGAGAGCACCTGAAAAAGTTGCAACTGGAATCGGATAGAGAGGGCGCAGGAAATTCTCTACGGCTACAAACTGAAGCACAGGAGCAGCTCGTCGTCGATTTAGCGTTATCGTGTGACGTATTTTCACCTCGTCCTATTACCAAGCCCCGTTCCACAGAAATTGGATTTGGAACAATTTCCGAAGAAAGCAGACGCACTGGAGTCACGGACGAGCCACCCGACGTCGAATTCAGTTTTTTTCATCCTATTCGCAAGATTGGTGCCAACCATTACGTCGCTACAGAGAAGACCAGCCCGGCGCTCACTGAAGAAGACACCAAGGTCTCTTGTCCAATGGGAGTGCGGCTTTTACTGGCTGAGTGGGAGGTAGGATCCGACGTCAAGAACTATACATACCGCGACCCGTATACTGCCACGGAAGTCGACCATGCTTCCGGTCCTAGGCGAAAACAGGCATTACGCACTCCCCCGCCTACACAAAGCACGGTGGTACCGTCGCAGCGTCCGCCAACTGTTGTGGCCACCGGAACACGACCGCAGTGGGAAGTAACTGGCACGCAGGTTGCCCATGCTGCAAAGCAGAGTTATTCTCAAGAGACAACCTCTTACCCTAAGCTTGATACTTTTTCGCAGGACCCCATTCAGACTAGTACACAAGTTCTCTCAGGGCCGTACGGCGGGCGGTTAATGGTAGGGAAGAAACCCACCAAGAAGCGAATTGGGGGGTTTTAATCTTGCGGCAGCTACATATCTACGACGTTGCCACAAAATGTGTTGTACTTACATGTCGGGTACTGGATTGTTATTACACCGGACTGTCGTCTGTCGGTCTCTGAATTAGGCACCCTAGTCGATTTCAAGACTTACGGTAGCATCCCTGTGCCTCCTCAGCTCTTCTTCCTGGTTCCGTCAAAGTCACAAAACCCGCGCCTGCATCATCGTCCGGCAAGTTCTGATCGACGACGAGTATCGCACGAAACCGGGATTTGTGGCTGGTCCAGTGAAGAAGGCTCTATGGACGGTGTTAGGTACGGCGAAATGACGTTCACTTTCATGGGTACCCCTTGGCGCTCAAACAACCAGTAGTACGCCCCCAAATCCTTGGTTCGACAATGCTGCCTTTAACGATACTTTGCGACGTATGGTGTAAAAGATTTTTCAAACTGTGACGAACTTCTGAGGGCCTAGCACACAGGAAATAAGTCCATAGTATGTGCGCTCTCAGCAAGCTACATATCTTCATTCGCAGGGTACCCGGTAAGACGCCCATTTGTTACCCTAGTCTGTTCTTAACGATGCGATGACATCTGCACAGCTTGACTCCTTGAAGTCGCGATTGCAGACCACCAAGACACGGATATCGCTGTTAAAATTAGCGGGGCTTGTATATCGCGAGGAGGGCTTAATTGGTTTTTATCGGGGACTCTGGATCCCTCTGGTGACGATATCCTTCGTCCGTGAGTTGTTCGTTTCGGTCACATCCATTCTTCCGTTAACGATTTTTAGGTACCGCCTCCTTCACGATTTACAGTGACACAAAGGAGTATTGCCGCAGGAAGAACTATTTTTCTGGTGACAGCATGCACGATGCTGCCTTCGCCGGGGGTATAAGCGGTGCCCTATCGGGCTCGTTGATCTCGTTCGGGAGCGCACGTGAGTTCAGACCTTCTCCCATTTCATTCGTGGACATTTACCTTTCATGGTCTGCAGCGTTTGAACTCGTGAAGGTAAGTTTCCAGCACGTGCTAATTCGCAGACCTTGTCCAATTAGTTTGCAAAAGGTCCGCCGGCAATTGGAATACAGCATCGCCGCAACAAAGGGTATCCAGCTAATCAAACCACCAAATACCATCGAAGCAGTCCGTGATATCGTCAGGACGCATGGCGTGTCCGGTCTTTACCTCGGTTTCCGGTTGCACTTTCGTGAGTTCTAGTCTCCGCTTTCTACCCAGCCGCTTACCTGTTCACTTAGTACGGGACACATCCGGAACTGCTTTATATTTCTTCGAGTATGACGCTATGAGGCACCTACTGGGTCGGGAGCGTTCTGGAGAGCAGGGTCCAACACCCCAATGGCTACCAATACCCAATTCTCTAATTCCCTTCGTCTGCGGTTCATTCGCTGGTGTCACGTCTTGGGCTTTAATCTATCCACTTGACGTGTGAGTCTGTGTTGAGCTCCCGAGACATTCACCATCCGTTGACCAGCTTACCTGCAGCGTAAAGACGAAAGTCCAGCAACGTGCGTTGGCCAATACTCCTCCAAGAGGAGTATGGGAAACTTTCCATCGCCTCGTTCGAGGTATGACAAGATCTATGTCTGGTTCCCTGTTTTTGAGCTCTCCTACGCAGGCCCGGATCCTAAAGATCCAAAGCCAGTGCTTGCTGGCATAGCACGGATTTACCGTGGTCTTGGTGTTAGCGCAGTGCGAAGTATTACCACACACGGGCTTCTGTGGACGTTCTTCGACTTCACATCACAATACATTGATGGTTTATCTTGACCCCCGTCGCGATACCACACTATCTTCCCCAAGGTAAATCTCGAACGCCATCGGTTTTCAAGGAGCTCATATGCGAATCTTCTGGTTTTTAAAAAGCTTTCGGGCCACTCCACAGCTCGGAATGAGCCTTATGGAGCTTAAACGTGATCTTCTGGGACCAGCACCACCACACATTGATTAATTTTATTACAGCAATCAACACGCACGAAAATCACCTCCGGGCTTCCTTGTCCCCATCACGGTACAATACAGGCAAAGACATACCGTATGTATATGTAACGAATATCTGCCATCCACGCCACACCTTGACCACAGCCCACGTGTGGTCCCCCCGGGAAGAACCAAAGGAAAGCGCCACGGTACCACTTAAGATGGTGGACCTGGCAACTCTTTTGCCTCGCTTTCTGAGACGTAGGCGGGTAATACTTTGTATGAACTAAGGTAATGTCAGTGGCTGAAACTCGATTTCGGAGGGGGATCAGAAGGAAATTTCTCGACGTACAGTGACTTGCCTTCGAGAATCAACCACACAGGCGTGCAGAGCGGGTTCAAAAGGCAACAGATGCAGTTCATTAGGCCGAGGAACCCACTTGTGCATTTTCAACTGAGCCGATCATATACATTTATACATCTTCAACTTGAGTCTAGGGTGAGACACAGCTGCAAGTTCCAAAGAACATGACAAATTGGTTGGGAAATGCTACAGAATTGCATCGTGTAAAGCTCTGAAGATCCTCGTGGCATCATCCCAGATGTTGATGTTAGTCATCGGTCAGTGGGCAAATTGAAGCAGATGGGGTTGATCTCACTCTGTTCTTGGTCTCTTGCTGCTAATCAGCATGAAACCTAAAGTCATGGCATGCGCATCAGGGTGCAAGTCAAACCATGATCATATTGGTCGTGATTCACGTGTTGGACACTGCCGGGATAGCTCAGCTGGGAGAGCAACAGACTGAAGTCGCGATTGGCATTCTGGAGGTCCCGTGTTCAATCCACGGTCCTGGCACTTTCCTTTTCCATCTTTTTAACACCGTATTTGGTTCCTCCTACGACATGCATGTACATAGAACAGTCAATGGATAGTGTACTTCCCATAGTCCTTCTTTGGATCATAAATCTGCCCAATAAAATAATGAGAAGTGGCAAAAATCATGGACGAATCTCATCTTACCTCCCATCGCGATGCGGGGAAAATATGTTTGTTTCTTTGGTACCAGCCTCTCTCAACAACTTTCCCCGCATGCGACTCGTCCTTCTCCTTCGTCGCATCAGAAAGTAACCGGACATCGTCATGGACGTCGAAATTGAATAGAGGTCCTGATTTGCCCCGAGCTTTATTGACGATGAAGTCATAAAACGTATTGTGCTGCACAAGCAATGAGAGCATTCTCCAAAACGCAATTTTTGATACGTACGTGGGGTATTATGAGGTCTTCCTTGAGTTACCAAAGGAGTATGAGCGATACCACATATACAAGAAAGACCAGAACCTACCTTGACATACATCAGGTTGTCAACACTGACGCCCCTCAGCTCCGGAAACTGCTGGCGACACTTCTCCAAGAAATTGGCGATCGTGTCGCCTTTCTTACACTAGAATGTGATTCACCAAAGTAAGCAGATGGGAATGGCAGGGATATATGCGTACCACCACGGATTTCCTGTGTCCACTTCCATCCCAGTATGAGTACGTGATCTCTATGTCCTCCATTTTAAGCTCCTCTTGCTTTTGCAGCCATTCTTGCCGTAGTCGCTCCCTTTCCTTCCTTTCAGCTTCTTCTCGCTCACGGTCAGGGAGAAAGGACGTGTCCACGTCTGGATTCTTGCGAAACTTGGTACGTTTGGGAGCAGACTCGCCGTTCTCCGTGTCGGGCGTCTGCCTGGAGGAAGTCTCACCATCGCCTTCGTCGTCGTCAATAGCGAACGACAGTGTCGACTTGGTCTTTTTACGTTTCTTCACTTTCTTTGTCTCTTCTCTAAACGAATACTCCACGAACCATCAGTTACCTTTCCTACCGAGTTAAATTGCGACTTACTTGAGCTCATTTGTACGCGCCGCCTCGCGTGCCTTCGCTTCTTCGATTTCCTTCCTCCTTTGTTGAAAGACCTCCAAGTGTACGAGGCCGACGGTGCTATTCTTAAGGGTATCCTCCATCGAATCATTCTGGCCCACGAACTTGTTTGCTGAGGGACGAGACTTTTCCGTTTCGTTGATGAGTTTCTGCTTCTGTCGTTCGTACTCTTCGCGGTTCTGCATGCGTTGCTTGACGAACGCATCCTCGCGACGACCCTCACCTCTGTCGGTAGACATGTAGTAGTACTAGTGTCGTGGTTGTGGTGAAAAATGTAGTTGCCTTTAGTGGAATCTCTCCTTCTTTACATCGACCAACATGGTCCACGTCCTGGGCGTCGCCCTACCTGACATGCAATTGGCAAGGGTACGTGTAGATACGAAGACAAGGCATTACCAAGCTGACAGCGTCTTAGCTTGCCTTGACCAACTTCTATGGCATCGGGCATAAAACAGCACGGCGTCTCTGCGCTCGACTGCAAATACATGACCGTAGCAAAATCCGAGACTTGACTGCCCAGCAAATAACTGAACTTGCCTCCTTCCTTGCCTCTCCGTCTACTGCACCCCCACTCCGCCGCATGCCTCTCGCCAACCCGACGTTCCAACCACCACCTGCCTCAACACCAATAGAAGTGCTTCGGAAGCGTGTCACCGAACTCTCCAAACCCACCGGTGCCGAACCTCTCAGAAACTTGAAGATAGAGGCTGAGGGAAGAAGGGTTGTCAGGGAGAACATCGCACACCAGAGGATGATCGGGAGCTATGTTGGGAAGAGGCATGCAATGGGTTTGCCCGTCAGAGGACAGAACACACAGTCCAATGCAAAGACGGCGAAGAAGCTCAACAGGGTCAATCGCTTTGGTTGAGAATTCGCTTATAGTATGTGGTACATTATACTCCTTCGCAATTCAGCTGGGCCACTTGTGCAGAAATCTTTCGGTAGATTCAGGGGGGAACTAATGATTGGCAGCTGCACGCGATGGCTCCCAGCAACTACTTACGATAGAAATACAATGCTAGAACACACGATTTTTATTTTCTATTCATCTCCCATCGGCACTTCCTCCTCCAGGTACTTCAGCAGAGTGACGCGTATTTCTGTAGTCTCATCGCCCCGTAGCACGTCCGACAAAAACTCTGCTTGCACTTGCATCTGTACCTGCAAAACCGATGAATGGAACGCCCACAATACTGCACGGAAAGAGGTACCATTTCCAGCGCCCCTCTCAGTACTCCGCACAGAACGTTGCTGAACCACAAGCCACCTTCAAGCGCTTCCTCCGGTAGCTCGACGAACTCCGCTAGCGGGTTCTCGTCCAAGGTGAGGATGAAGGACGAGGTCGGTACGCTAGTTTGTTGGACACTGGTTGGTCTCGATGTCGGTGGTGGGTGGGTCACCGTTGGAGTGATATTCAGAAACGACTTGAAGCCGACCTTGGTACTGTGTAAGCATGTCTGCAATGACAGCACGAGCCGAGCCTACTTGCCTTAGCCACTACTTCCCCGACCTCACGGAAATCAGAACACCGCCCTACCGAACTCCTTGCCAAAAAATCTTCGATTAACCTCGTTCCGATATTATATCCCATCTTCTCTAGTTGCTTATTCACCTCCCCGTAGTCCTCGTAGTCTTGGATCAGCTGCACGACGAGTGCGCCATATGTCAACGCGAACAGCTCTGCATTCTGATCTGAGAGTTAGTCAGGGTCTTCTACCGATCGTCGAGTTGCAAGAATGCCGAGCTTAAGTGTCACTCACGACTTTCTCCGTGCGGCTCTTCCAAAGGTCCTCTCCGATGGCCTTGTATTGCTTACTGGGCGTCGCCATCGTTGGCGATGGCTAGTGCTGATGGGTCGACCTCAAAGACATCCTAATATGGATCACGTGATGACATCTACACGATGGATGTGTTCTGCTGCTCCTCGTCGTCCCCGACGAGTCTGCTAAAATAATGTCACGTCCAGAGCTTCAAGCGCCCCCAGAATTTGCGAGTACATTCGTGTCTGCTGAAGGATTTGTTTAATGACAATGTTTTTGCAGTATTATGGTGATACGGAAGCAAAAAAGTACACTACCAAGTGGGCAGTCTCAAATCATGACTTTAGCAACCTCCTGACTTCTCACAAGCACCCGAAATCAGCAAATTCAAGCAGATATGACCTACAGAGCACTCGAGCTACTAAACATACCGTCCAGTCAGCTCGTGTTCTTGTTAGACATTGGCTGTGGTTCTGGATTATCTGGAGAGATACTGGACGAAGAAGGATACGTATGGGCGGGCGTCGATATCGCCCCCAGTATGCTTCGTGAGTGGGTCATCAGTCACTGTTGCATCTTTCCCTAATTTATGTATCAGAGGTTGCGCTAGAGAGGGAGGTCGATGGTGATCTGTTCTTACAAGACATCGGTCAAGGTTTCGGCTTCCGTCCAGGGAGCTTTGACGGTGCAATAAGGTGTGGGCAGTTTTTTTACTCTATTGCGCAGCCGCGTAGATGTCTATCTTTTGCAGCATATCTGTTCTGCAGTGGTTACTCAACGCTGAAACCTCACACCCAACATCATCGCCCCCGTATCGCCTGAACCGTTTCTTCACTACCTTGTATTCAGCTCTAAGGAATCCATCCCGTGCCGTTTTCCAGTTCTATCCATCATCAGATGACCAGATACAACTCATCACCTCGATAGCCCAGAAAGCTGGTTTTGGCGGCGGCGTGGTCGTCGATTATCCGAATTCTAAGAAGGCAAAGAAGGTCTTCTTATGTTTGTTTGTTGGCAGTGGTGGTGGTCAGCAACTGCCCAAAGGTTTGGAAGGGGAAGAGGATGATCATGTACGATTCGAGAGAAGGCGCGAGAAGGAGAAGAGAAGAGATCGTACCGGGAAGAGAAAAGGAGTGAAAGACAAAGCTTGGATACTGAAGAAAAAAGAGGCAAGCCACATTCCCTTTGATTTCGCCTCGGAGCCATGACAAGTGACATCACCTTCAGCTTTACCGCCAACGAGGCAAAGAGGGTGTTCCTCGAGACTCAAAATACACGGGCCGAAAACGAAAATCAATTTTTTGAAATCTCCATCGTGTCAGTTGTTATGTGCATTTGTAGCATACCCGTCTATCTCTTGACGAAGAGATCTTGGCAAGATTCCACAGCCTCCTTAGCACCATTCCTTATGAACAGGCCTTGCAGAGCAGCCATACTGATCCGTCGTCCGCTGCGCATCTCGTTTGCTGTGAGGACCTCGAGTTCCTGAGCCAGCCTAGCGACGTCTTCTGGGGGGATATCCTCACTACCACCGTAAAACCGTGTGAATAGTGTCCGAACTTGAGATGGAGACGCATCATCGACAAGTACTCTGAGATCCACGCGACCTGGTCTGATCAGAGCGGGGTCAAGGTTATCGACATGATTAGTGGTCATGAATACAATGCGCTCCTCGCCCGATGCGACACCATCGAGTGCATTAAGGAAGCCTGAGAATGTTACGGCCGACTGGTATCTGGTGATGGATTGTAAGAAGCACTAAAAACGAAAGCCCTAAATCCGTCTTACCCGTCTTCACTCGTCTGTACCCGTCTATTGAAGGCGGCGTCAACGTCTTCGATGAGTATGAAACTGCGCTCGGGGGCGTTTGAAAACAGATGAATAAGTTTGTCGTCGGTGAGTCCTCGTTCGGAGAGGTTAAGTAAACAGATATCATATGAGAGTGCACCAGCCAATGCTTGGATATAAGAAGTCTTGCCCGAGCCCGGAGGGCCGTACAACAGGTATCCTCTCCGATAGGGGATGCCTGGAAATGCGATGGGTGGAGCTTAGCGCATACGGGGACGCTTATTGCTTACCCCGATCGGCATACCATTGCCTTCGCTGTAGGAAAGCGCGAACGTCTTGTTCTATTTTCTCGCCTACTCCTGCATGCAATACGACGCTATGAAGGG